AGTAGTAAGTAGTTTTTTATGGAACAATGAAATAAAATTCTTAACAGTAATATGTGTGTCTATTGTTTACCTGGAATATATATTTTTAATATTTTTATTATAATGTATACATTGTCATAATAATATTTTGCTACGTGATAAACGTATGTACACCGCACGTTGTGTGATTTTTTGTAAGATAAAGACGGATTTTGGTGGTTAAATTACTAATTATAACTAGATTCAGATCCTGGTAAAATCAATAAGTTCTAATCACGCCGATAGGGATGTTCGATCAGCAAGGCACACGCGTGCAAACCGTTCCCTGCAGGATAAGTTTGCACGCAACAACTGCTTGCCGTCGACACATGATCGCTTTCCGTGCTTCGAATCGTTTGAGCGTTTTAATCAACCGAGTATGTGTATGTGCATGCCAACGTTGTAACAATGATAGTGCCGTCCCCGCAGTCAATCTCCGTTAAACGGTTCCTTCCGTGCTTACACACATCACTCGTATGTACTATTTACCCGTGTAGTACCGTATAACTTATAAATATAAAACTATACATATATTTATATTCATGGGTTCCAAAACGCCCATTAAAAATAATGGTATCCTTCCTTTGGGTCTCGCTCCTCTCTCCCATCGTGGTAATAACACTATATGATATGTGCCATCTCATTCTATAGCGGCGGCGGCGGAAAATCAAAAGTTACCGAGCAGGTAAACAGCGCGCACCTAAGTCGAAAACGTATTTTTATATATATACTTATATTCCTCCGGCGCTGTTTAAAATGTAAATTATACGCCATCCCTTGTGCCCAATTCTAAACATTGACTTTTCCACATTCTCTTGCAAGCGGTAAAAAAAAAAATTAAAATGAAAGTACATATTCACATGCACGTGACTATTTCCAAACGTTATATTGATATTCTCTCGGCGACAAAAGTACATTACCGACATTTAAGTGTGTGTGTGGCACGTGATTCAATATTTCAGTATTTTTCTACGAGGACTCTACTATATTGTAATACAGTAGGCAATTGATTCATGTCGAGATTTTAAAAATACGACCTGGAGTTTCAAAAGCTAATTATTCATTTAACTGTCGTTTCGATTTTATTTAAACACGTTTACCGAATTACTTTAGACGTTTGACGCTTCTTCCATAGTTTCTATTTCATTATTTACAAACATCTCATTCGCAATCTCGTCTAGACACAGTCGTACGAAAAAATAAAGTAGTCAAACTCCGTTAACTATCTTATACTTGTCCAAAGTTATTTATTTTTATTTATTTTTCCTATCGCGTTTATTATAAGAACACTCAAACAGAATACATACAGTTTCAGTTTAGACGTTAAAAAAAAAGCTAACCGTCATCGATTTTGACGTTTACACACGAATAACCAACTACAATAGATCAGTTAATCAGTATAAAGTTTTTTTTATAAATAAAAAAAACACATCGAAACAAAAGGTTTTTTTTATAGTAAAAAATACATGTATTATCAACCCGAAGTTTAAATACCCGGTATCCGCAGACCTAGACAATAAAATCAAATATAAAGAAAGTAGTCAGTCGATTTTATAATTTGGGGTGTCGTTCAAAAAACATATTATTATACATACTTGGTTTTGTTTGTGAAAAAAATAAAGAAACATAGGCACAACTCACGATTAAAAAACAAAAACCTGCGAGTAAAAAACGTTATAAATTATAATATAGGACGTCGGCGGGTGTTTAAGTTCTACGTGATGGCCGTGACTAGGACGACTAACCCTTTACTTTTATTCTGTCTCGTTAGTAATAATTATGAGTTATAATAAGGTCAATGTCATATCATAATAAAGTACAATTGTCATAACTATATTTATATGTGATTCGTGGTCGGGTTTTTTTGATGGTAATAACGAACGTGTGAGCCTAAATAAAGTCAAAATATAATTTGTAATCATACAAACTGTAAAAAAAACAAATCATACAGCACATTTAACGATTTTAATAAAATGTTTAGACTGTACAGTGCGTATTTGTAGAATGGCGATCATTAGTCATTACCTATAATATAATATAACATTATAATATTATACGCCTAGTGCATTATGTGATTTATTTATTCGTATGACTAGTGTATTATGTGATATACTTTTATACTCGGGCTTTGTGATCTGTTAATGTGTTTACGGAAATTAGCCTTTTTGGGTAAGTTTTAAAATTATTTGTTAACCAGAGTGGTTCGAGCTCCGTATTCTAGAGGGCGAGTCAAATGTGCCAATTATTCCTGAAATTATTTATACATAGTACATTGTTATTGTACAATGTACATATTAATATAGGTACCTAAAAGACAAATAAAATATATATTTTACCTTTTAAACACTTTAAAAGCTATCCTCTAAAATAACTTTTGTACATAATAGTTTTTTTACTTAAACGCATACCTACTAGGAATCACCCTGTACTTAGGTTTTAACTGTATAATCGATATAATAATTATGAATGGGCAGTGATGTAGACGAAAGTGTACATGGACAAGCTAAATACTTTGAAATTCCGGCGCTCCTCATTTAACAGGTAATTAGTAGTCGCTTGGACCCGATGAACTTCAAAAGCAGCGGCCGGTCAAAAGCAATAAGTACGGAGAATGCGTTTACAAAGTTAAGCGACCTCAAAAACGGTTGGGGTTCAAACGGTCCGAGGTGCGCATAACGAAAAGTAAATTTGCTTTGAACATAATTAAAACAAACGCTTACGCGGCTTCGATTTTGGCAACAAAATCAATACGAAACTATTTGGAAAACGTTTGGAGATCGCATTAAAAAATAGCCAAGAAAACGGTTAACATAATGGTTTTATATTTTCCCATCCAATTTATCTCGTTCGGGTCTCGCCTTTTTCCCCTTTTTTTTGCTCTTTTATTGCCTTTAAATCGTTCTCCATTAGACGTAGTTTATTCCGACTCGGTTCGGTTGACAAGTCTCGAACGTTTCTACGGGTATTAATGGTTACTGCGGATCTCCGTTTTCCTCCTTCAGCTTTATACTTATACACCTTCTGTGTGTATAAAAACTGTTTTTATAATGCGTATATATTACGTTAGATACGTAAAAACGAGTCAGAAAGAGAGAAAAAACTCATGCACACACACACACATATATATATTATTGTAACGCCACTCCTAGTATTGTGATTATATTGAAGTCGGATCCCGGGGTACCTACTTCTTGACGCCGCAACATTTCTGTTTAAGTATTGTTATTGTAGTAATCGCCATAAACGATGCTATGCACATTCGCCGGTAGGTATAAATGAAAAATATTTTTTAAAAATCCGCCCCACTCGTCAGGAAAGATCACAGCCCAATTGCATAATATAAAAACGATTTGATCTAGGTATTGCAACCATTGCGTTAATAGTACTATTATCGCTGGATATTTGCTCGTTTTGCCGTTTCAAGTATATACGTATTTCCAAACGCTCTAGAGGCGTCGCTCTAAACGAATAAAACTTAATTTACAGTGTCATTCAATAGGTTATTATTGCGGACCGTCCACACCAGATTTCGTTGGAAACACAAAATCCTGTATTGACACTTGAAAGTAGTCGCCAGCCCTTGTTAATAGAATTTCACATTCTCCATGCATTACTACGTTATTATATTCAAATTATAAATAATGACGACGCAAATACAGTACTAGATTGAGTAGTAAAGACATTTCGGCGACATCGTTCATAAATATTATATTATCGTTTTAGTTTCGGCGTTTAAGGATTGACTGCACTGGAAGGGGGGGATGTTTAGACCCTGTAAAACGCGGTGCTCAGTTGTCTATTACGACTCGGTCTTGTAATTCGAAAAATATAAGATATACATTATTACGGTAAAGCTGACCGTTTTATTTGTACTCCAATCGAGTAAAACCGACCATATTTGCGTTTATTATACGTAATAATATTCTAATCAAAACGACCAATGTCTGCTCTCGGCAGGTATATTATATGATATAGAAGACTGATAAAGATAATAGTAATAGCTTTAGTTATGCTAAAAAGCCGAAAAGGTATTTATTTACACGAATAGTTTTTACTAAAACTTTGTTTTGAATAAATAATATATGTGTATAATATACATATTACGTAAGTCATTAGATGTTTCGTTCTATTTCTACTTTATCGTGTCAACCCGATGATAACAGTTGTTTTGAACAAAGTACATGTCGAGTTGGGCAATAATCATATATTTTCAACCTTCGCTGTTAGATGTCACTTTTCTTGACCAAAGTCGGAATACGCATAAACTTTACTTCAACTAACTGTAACTTTTCTGTATTTTGCATGACGTCTCGATTACAAGTTTCTCTGTGCCACTTTAATGGCAATATCAATTTAAACACATGATTTGCCAATGACTGGTGCAGTGTCAAAAATTCTGCCTGTAATGCATTTTAGTTCAAATGTGTCGTTTAAAATGGAACATATTATTATACATAAAATGTTATAAGACGCAGTAACATTCAAACAAAATGATTCTGATAATAATTATTGACTTAAGACTAGTGAATTGTGAAACTATTTAAAGATTAGTAATAAATTGACATACAATTTGATTAAATTCTAAACTTATTGTTAAAAAAAAGAAAACGTAAAAATATAAAGTTATTTTTCAAAGATTCGTACAACAATCTGAAAAGTATTTGTTTGTTATTAAATTGTTTGGTTTTGATTTATGTACCTATTTATTACAAAAAAATAATAATTTAAAAAATACCCGTTTCAACCAAAGTTATGGTCTTCGTACTTTGAGAAAAATTGCAGTAGACATGAATGCATTGATGAAAAACAATAAATTTGTACAATTTTTTTTAATTTCCTATCTGATTAATACTTTAACGTTGGTGATACCGAGTTTGTTTCCCCATTTATCAATGAGCGTACACGGTACGCATATTTATCATACAGCTGTAGGGCGTAGATTTTTTTTTACTTTTAATGCTAATGTTATTTTTATGTTTCAGGTGGTCACGAGGATTTTTGGTTGCAGGTGAGTTGAACATAGTAACGCAATAGGTAATTAGTTGTTTGAAAAATGGAGTTTTACCACAAACGTGAGACTGTATAGGTTAAGCTGTAACTTTTTTTGTGCGGAAATGGATGCAGTAAAACATAGATTAGGCAAACAAATAAAATTTAGCACAAAAAGGGGAACGTAACATAATTCTATGTTTATTTTTAATTACATTTATACAAAAAATGCCATTGTTGTGTCTATTGAATAATTACACTGAAAATAAAAAACCCGGATTATATAATGTTCCGTTTAAACAATTATTACTGGTCTAATGACCATGCTATGACTTACTATTACATTCAGTGAAAAATATTTTCAATATATTTGGACAAATGTAGATTACTTCTAAAAGAGCCTAAGAACACGATAAAAATGTTAATTGTAGACGTTACTATAGAATATTTAAATAAATTTAATGGTCATATTAGTGATTTTACCTAAATTTCTTGACTTTATTTGTTGAAAGAATTTCCTTATAGAGATGCAATTAAAAACTAATGCAAGCGTAAAGATTAAGAACTTACTGAAGACTCTCGTCTACCGTAAACTAATAATAATAATAATATATATAATATATATACATATATATATATATATATATATATATATATATGTATATACAGCTCAACTTGTCAAACCATGTATTATTTATTTTACAAAAATGAGATGTACATGTTATGGACTTATATAATTTATTGTTTACAAACATATATTTAAATTAATAAACATTATTATTTATAGTACAACCTATTAGATAGTAAATTTTGTTAATTAATTCTTATTTCTACCTACATGTTATCATGTAGTAATAACTATAAAAGTAATAACTTTTATTATTAAATTCTTGAAAATACCATTTTGTAGTACATATTAACATTGAAAAAATTCTAATGGTCTTTTGTAAACCAAATTTGTATTTGGAAAAAACTCATTCATCCTTCCCTCGTGTATTCACAGTAACACATGTGATGGCTTAATCACATGACATCCCATTTATTTGAAGGAGGCTAGTTTTTTTTATTATTATCATTATAATAAAAATAATAAAACATATATAATTATATATATTAGTTATATTAAAATAAACAATAAATTTAACAACGAGTACTGAATACCAAGCTTATATTTTAGGTGATCTCCTCATAAAAAATAATTTTGCACACATACTAAGTGAAAGGTACTGGTATTTTTTAACATTTTAAAACATTTTTTTGCATTACTTAAACATGTTTTTCTTATCAAGTACAAACAACTTTTTACGTATGTGTTACAGTAAATAACTATTTTCCTGTATGAATTTTCATCAAAATTTGGCATCCGTTTGTATTTAATTTTCAAGTTTTTGAAGGATCCGGTGTTTTCAAAGAAAAGTTTTCGAATTAACTTCGTACTAAAATACTACCATCCACCCTAAAGTTTCATACAAATTTGAAACAATAATAAATCCACGTTGAATACACATACTTTATACTGCAACGCCTGCCTATTAATAAAGAAACAATTATGAGTGCAAAATGTAAATACTTCGAAGGCAAACAGTGTATATAGTAATAAATATATTTACTGGTGTTGGAGATAATTATGCCTATGAGGTATTTATTTTACACTAACGAACTAATAAATAAATGAAACAAAAACCTAAATTCAATAAAAAAATAATAAGGCATACTGACTATTAATCTAATGAACCGTAACATATTGAGTTAAAAAATATTTCAATTAAAAATAGTAATTCAATAAATATAAATCCATATTTTGATAATAAAAAATGAAAGTTTTTCGTGTAAATTATGTGTTACTCATTTATTTAATGATTAGTTATTTTTGAAATAAATTAAGTTATTTTCAATGACTTGTTAATATGGCATTAATACACTCAAATATTGCAATTGAAAAATTGGTAGTATTAATTTATCTTTTATATTAAGATAATTAAATAAAATAAAAATATATTTTTTTAAGATACGTAATAGGTTTTTATTTTCCGCTGTACTTGTAATATAGAACCCATTCTTTAGTTGTAAAACATCCCTTTCCTACGCGCTACCTTAAAAAGTAAACAATATTGTATAATGATTTAACTTAATTTCGTTTCATTTTTTTGTACTATAATAGGATTTTAAATTAATTTAGTATAATTTTAGCAGCTAATAAGTTATTACATGCGTTTGATATCAATAGCCATTGATATAAAAATATGATATTATATATATACAGGGTGTAAAATAAAGTTCTACCGAGCTTCAAATGAGACATTCAGAATGCTATGGGTACAATAAATAATTTTAATTTTTTTTTTTTTTTAAATGATTTAAAATAGAACTCGTATCTCATTTAAAAATTGTCTTACGAAAAAATTGTTTGAAATCAGGAGAAAAAAATCTTGTTGAAGTAATACTTAACATGATTTGTTTGTATCTGGCCACACTTGCGTCGACCGAGTGGCCACTGAGTGGCCGGCATGTGACCAAAATCAGCATATGGCATGTGACACATCATTTTGGGTTAAAATTTTTTCTCAATTCAGTGGTGTCCTTAGAATTATTTTATATTAAATGATGTGCCGCATGCCATATTATGTTGGTTTTAGTCACATACCGGCACTCGGTGGCCACCCTGTGGACTTATGTGTGGCCAGATACCAAAAAATCATGTTACATATAAATTCAACAAGATTTTTTCTCTTAATTTCAAATATTTTTTTCGTAAGACAATTTTTTAATGAGATACGAGTTCTATTTTTAAATTTAAAAAAAAATGAATATTATTTATTGTACCCATATAGCATCCTGATTGTCCCATCTGAAGCTCGGTAGAACTCGGAAAATAAATTCCGTTTTATTAAAAATAAACGCGCACTCAAACCCTGTTGTCTTTATTTGTTAAGAAAAGTGACTTTCACAGATGTACTTTTTTCGTATACTTTATTTAAATAAGTTTTTTTTGAAAATCCCAATATAAACGGTAAAGAAATAATTGAACAGTGGTAAATTAATTGTGACATCGTAGTTGTTATTTTCTTTTTTTTTCATTTTGAATAAAACAGTCGAGAATCAATATTCTCGTGACATATGCAATGCCCTTGCTATGTACAACCGTGGGCTAAAACATCACAAAATTCACTACATACATATCAAAATGTTTTGAACTTATCCTATTGAAAATGCATAGGTCATGTGAAAAACGTTAAAAATTGAATTAATTTCTGAGCTTACATAAGTGGACGACCTCAAAATGAATACAAGTTAAAAAGCGACCGTCCTCGATCATATTTAAATGTAGATCTAAAATTTGTTAGAAAAGGAAATGGTATTTAAAAGTTATCACTTGAATTACTTAATTTTAGTTATTTAACTAATGAAATTGTATGTATGTAATAAACCTAGTAATTAATGTTATCTAATTATTTTAAATATTTCGTTGCCATCAATAATTGCGTTTTTTTTTAATCTCCGCTATGAATTAAAAGCTCTTTGATGATATGCGTCTTTATTAAAACTAACAATAAAATAAATTCCAAACGACCTTGGTGGATGATGCTATTGCTTCTCGAAGATCAATGACGCAATAATGTTTTACATTTTTATATTCGGTCATTACTACGGATTAGTATCATTGACCGGCTCGACAATAAATCATGACTAGCATTATGACATATTGGTGTCCTGACGACTGCAGAATTAACACAGGAGGCTGAAATTTCATCGTCTGCAGACTTCTCGACGGGAGGGACGTTCATTGTTCTCATTGTCTCAATCGGAAGCGAACGTTTTGAAGTCTAGAAAAACGTATAAAGTTGAACGTCGTTATATGTATTTAGTAATTTGAGGTGGATTAATCTTGTTGTTAGCTTTGAATTATTCCAATCGGTCGGAAATTCGACAGATTGGATTAAACCTTTTGTTTTTGATACGCAATCGACAAGTCTAACTTTATACACAAGACGGTTTTCTATTCTGTAGATTTTCATAGAATAACCGAACAACGATCGTATTAACCGCAGATAATATTGTATGACATCGAAATAACTTACACTCAACCAAGACCTCGCTGTTAAGTCAGCGAATTCAAAAATTATAATATTTATCAGGACAAGACTTTGAAAATTCGGATTTAGTCATCAATAAAATGTAGACCGTCTATCGACTTCACTATTTGTAATCACATTTTTTGAAGTACAGAAAACTTTTAAATTTAAATCGTTGTAATATGCATCGGATTCATTGGTAAACTATCCAGTAAACGATAATGACGAACAAATTAATAATAATCGTGTGGATGGAATTTAGTGTATCGCAGCAACTCCGCCCAAAAAATTAAATTTTACTATTCAACGCGAAAAAAGAAAAACATTACTCATATTAATATAATAATATAATTTTTTATGTGAAACAATTTGTATTTATTACTTATTTTCAATTACTCGAGCTTGACCTTCCAATGTTTTAATATCGCCTAATAATTTATTTTTTGTATCACTTTTATTTTAATAACAAAATACCATTCGGTATTAGAGAGATTCAGTATTCTACAAAAAAAAAAAAAATATATATATATACAATAAAAGGAAAAATCGAAATTACACGGTTTCGGATATTTTACAAAAACAATTAAATGTAATTGGACTTTAGAGAGATACCTACTGACTGGCTTTTAAATTGCGAATCATTTCGATTTTAAATGTATAATATGGTCCGCGAGTTTCTTCCAAATATTTGTCCCATTTCAAAGCCTTATAAATTAATCGCACCAAAAAACGGTAAATGAAAGTTTTAATTACTCTCGACTGCAGGTTTAGAGTTTTGTTATTCATATTTCTTTTTAAAATAAGTTCTTGTATTTTTTTTTCAACTGAAGATTAGCATATTTATATTTTTGCTTAGGTCACCGAGCGCCGAAATTAGTTTTTACGACGCTTTGACGAGCAATACCGCACGTTAACGTAATGTAAACCGACCGGGCTCATCGTTCCA